TAGTTGCTAAGTCGTGTCCAACTCTTTTGTGTTGCTGTCTTTTCTGCCCTATTGGCCAGGCCCAGCCAGTTTGCTTATTCCGACAGGGAAGACTGGGTTGGGTGGTTGGTTTGACGCTCTGGGGCAGGCTGCACCCTCACGCCTTTGATGGCACCGCGAGCTAATTTTCTGTCCCTGGGACTCACCTGGGCTTGAGAGGGCCAAGGTCATTTCCTTAAAAGCTGGAAACAGTGGGTTTCACAGGAACTTTAAAAAAATGAATGGATTTATTTAGGATGTAGTTATTCTAGTTATTCCAGTTATATTGGAAAGTAGTCTGTACTCATAGTGACTGCTTTGGTATAGACTGTGTTCATCCCTTTCTTTCACGCCTTATTTTGACTCTAGCCACACTTCGGGGTTCAGGTCCGTCTCTGTTTCCGGCTTTCATCTCTAACCATTGTCTCCTCTGTTTTGGGTCTTTGCTCATCTTCTTAGTCCTTGGACACAAGCAGGCTCCATATGCATATGTTAATACATCTCTAGGATCCGGGACACCGTAGGAAGGTCTGAGTCGTCAGGTGAAGGGTTGATAGCAGGTGGATCTGTCCAGGTCAGGGTGCACGAGGCAGGTCCAGATGCCCCATGAATCTCAGACAAAGGAGCAGCAGAGGTGACAACAGAATGTCAGATATACCAGCATCCAGAGACCAGACCCTCCAGGCGCTGCACGTGTGGGTCACTGTACTGCGAAGGCACCTTTATCCCGCCTCGTTCCATCCCACCCCTCCTTCCAGAGTCACTCCTGTGGAAAGGCTTTCCTGCTGCTCCCACCTCCTGCTGTCAGCTCCACAGATGCCCCACCTCTGTTCCTGCCGGAACTTGGGTGAACCGTGAGGATAATGCTCTCTGCCCTATGCTGGCATTAGACAGTGAGGTTTCAAAAGGCAAGATTTGCTTTATCAGCCTGTCCTTATAACACAGAGTAGACTTACTTGTAGACAAACTAGGACGCAAATTAGTCGGCTGTCTATAAACCAACCACAGTCATGTTTTGAGGGAGAGTGTGGACTAAGGCCTTGCTGATGATCCAACTGTGGTCCCAAGAGCAGCAGTGCCAGCATCACCTTCGGACTTGTTAGAAATGCACAATACAGGGGCCACCAAAGTATTCCTGAGGCAGAATCTACCCTGTATCAAGACCCCCAGGTGATCTGTTTGCACCTTAAAGCCCGAGAAGGCCTGGGCTCTCGGCGGTGCTTCAGCTTTATGAAAGATGTGGGCCTGTGGAGATGCTTTGAGGTGACGAGATCTGACCTTGATAGGGCAGAGAGCATCCTTTCTAGGGGAGTGGTCCCATCCCCCGTCAGCAGCGGGACCAGCCTGACCGCCCGATCACAGCAGGAAGCCTAGTGTTTTCAGGGGAAGGGTGAGCATGGGGTAGGTGTGGGGGCCCAGGGTGTAGAACGTCTTGACGGCTCAGCAAAAGAATGTGGCCTCAGTGCCACAGGGCACCATGGCGGCTTCTTGAGAAAAAGCAGAACGTGATGGCAGTCGGAACTAGGCAGAGATTCTCACCAACCCCTCTTTTTCTGCCCTCTCAGCGCTTCCTGCTCTCCAAGTCTCCTCCCTCCCCCTGGAGGACAGCCAGGAGCTGACAGCCCCGCTCCTCTCCGCTGGGTCCCAGGTGAGCCGGCGGCCCTGTGCCCACGTCGAGGGACCCTCGTTGGCTCTTGGACATGTAGCTGCCTTAAGCCTGATCCCGTATCAGAGTTCTATCTCTTTAACCGGAGACGGGGCTCGTCTGGGTTTGTGTTCACTGTCTTTTCCTGTTCCGCTCCCCCACCCTCCGTGAAGCACAGTCCCTCCCTTCTGAGCCTAGGGAATGGGGATTTAGTGGCGATCTCATGTTTCAGAAGTTGGTGAAAATTGAAGATGTGGCTGACGTGGCTGTGTCCTTCATCCTGGAAGAATGGGGACATTTGGACCAGTCCCAGAAGTCCCTCTATAGGGATGACCGGAAGGAGAATTATGGGAGTATGACTTCCATGGGTAAGAATGAGTTTGTTTGCGTGGTGTAGGACATCTTCATTTTGTTATCCATAAAGAGTATTTCTAGCATGTCTAGTGAAAGCATGCGTGTTATATTTATTTATTTAAAGTTTTTTATTGTATATTGGATATAGTTGGTTAACAGTGTTGTCTTAGTTTCAGGTGTACGGCACAGAGGTTGTTAAACATGTATGCATGTAATTGCTATGACTGGTTATTTTGTTTTTCTGTGAGAGTAAATCAGCTTTCTCCGTCTCTCTCTCTCTCTTTTTTCTCTTATTCAACTTATTCTGATTATTTCCATCATAGTAAGAGTATGATTGGAGTAGAAAATGGCAACCCACACCAGTATTCTTGCCTGGAGAATCCCCATGGACAGAGCAGCCTGGCAGGCTAGAGTCCTTGGGGTCGCAGAGTTGGACATGACTGAGCGACTAAGCACCGCACAGCACATGCATGGATGGCTAGTTCACTCCATTACTACTCTCAGATCACTGGTACCGGCCTTACATTCGCCTTGGCATCTGCATTTCACATGTCTCATCCCTTCTTGAATTTTGTACCCCAGATGAGATTTTTGAACCTATTTCTAAGCTAATGATCTTGGAAACTAATACTTGGCTATGCTGCCTGGAGCAATTATAGAAAACCTCAGCACTATGGCAGATATTTTGAAGCTTATGGCTTGTAGCCTCTTTTGAATGAATTCTTTTGGGAGAGTCACTATCAGGCACGCTGGTGGACTTTAGATGGAATCCATCCACTATAAGCCCAGATTTCTTTTGAAAAGCATTATCCCACAGTGTCCAAGTGTTTAGTGCACTCACAGGCTTTTATTTAAAAAGGAACATTTTCTACTGCTCTTTCAGATTTTCTATTTCCTTTATTACTATTGATATATGTTTGTGTTTTCTTTGAGTTATTTGCACATGCCCTCTGCTTACTTGTCTGTTGGGATCTTAGTGGTAGTCTCAAGGAATTGCTTATGTAGTATAAATATTGTATTTAATGCAAATTTCTTTCATTCCCTTCTTTTAAAACTAATTTCTTGGTCTAATTTGAGTCAGTATTTTATCTTTTTCAATCACTTTATAGGTATTTAATGGGTTTCAGAGTTGCAGAACTTGGCACACTTCTGCTGCATATTATTCTCCAAGCTGTTTTGAATTCTTTTTTTTTTTTAGTTAATTTCTTCATTGTTTGGCTGTGCTGGGTCTTCCTTGCTGCGTAGGCGTTTCTCTAGTTGCTGCTCTCCAGTTGTGGTGTGCAGGCTTCTCACTGCAGTAGTTCTTTAGTTGCAGAGCGCAGGCTCGGGGGCACAGGCTGAATGGTTGTGGTGCGCAGGCTTAGTTGCCCTGCGACACGGCACGTGGGATCTTCCTGGACCAGGATCAAACACAGGATGCCAGACAGGGTGCCAGGGGTGTTTTATGTAATGTTTGAAAACAATTTTTCTCTTTATAAAAAGTCTTTCTGGAAAGTTCTCAATGGACTATGAGCTCTCTCTCTAGCCTTTAAAGAAACATTCCTGTTTTTTGTTAACCACTGAAAGTTTATCTTTGCAGACTGTATTAAATTTCCATGTTTTGAGTGAAATGCATGTTGCTGATCCAGTTACACGGGGAATGGACTGCAGCCTCTTTATTTTTGTTTGGACTGCAGCCTCTTAAGTGTGTCTATTCATCAACGACCACCAAGCAGTGACTTAGCTCTCAACAGTCGTAGGGCCTTTCCGGGTATAGAAAGAATGCTTTTCTCCCTTGAGTCTGATTCACACCAAACTGAGATTCTTTGGGGATTGAAAAAGCTGAGAGATCCCTCTTTCTTCTCAGGGCTGTGTATGAGCAGGAAGGGGAAGGTGAGGACTGGGTTAGTAACATCACCCAGCATCAGATTTTGCTGAGAATATTTAACACAGCACAGGTGTTCACAAACAGCTACTGGACGGAAGTCCCCCATCAAGAGGAAGTCATTGTCTCTAAGTGAAATGACTGCTGTCCCAGTCTCATCCCATTGATCCATTCCTGCCGGCTCTGTCTTCCCTTTCCTGCCTCAGTTTCTGCTTCACTGACCCTCATCCCGTGCCTGCATTGTGCAGTCGTTGCTTCACTGACCCTCATCCCGTGCCTGCATTGTGCAGTCGTCGCTTCACTGACCCTCATCCCGTGCCTGCATTGTGCAGTCGTTGCTTCACTGACCCTCATCCCGTGCCTGCATTGTGCAGTCGTTGCTTCACTGACCCTCATCCCGTGCCTGCATTGTGCAGTCATCGCTTCACTGACCCTCATCCCATGCCTGCATTGTGCAGTCGTCGCTTCACTGACCCTCATCCCGTGCCTGCATTGTGAAGTTGTCGCTTCACTGACCCTCATCCCGTGCCTGCATTGTGAAGTTGTCGCTTCACTGACCCTCATCCCGTGCCTCATCCCGTGCCTGCATTGTGCAGTCGTCGCTTCACTGACCCTCATCCCGTGCCTGCATTGTGCAGTCGTCGCTTCACTGACCCTCATCCCGTGCCTGCATTGTGAAGTCGTCGCTTCACTGACCCTCATCCCGTGCCTGCATTGTGAAGTCGTCGCTTCACTGACCCTCATCCTGTGCCTGCATTGTGCAGTCATTTGCAGATGGCTTTAATCTTCCTCTATTCCTGAATGCAGGGAGTATACTTAATATTTCCATTTTCCCTCTTTCCTCTCAGATTATGAGTCCAGGAATGACAACGTGGAACTCACAGTAAAGCAGATTTCTGATGAAGCTGAATCATCCTGGATGACTTTAGGAGGCCCTGAAAGAACTGTTCCCTCGAGTCAGGAGTTTGGAGAAGTTAGCGACCTTCACGGCATGGTAGAAAGGTGGGAGGTCCAACCACCAGGGGGGCGATCAAGGCAGACCCCTCCCCAGAAGAGAGAGCTCGGGGCCATCACCGACGTGACCCGGAAGCCACCCCCCAGCGGCGAGAGGGGGCACAGATGTAATGACTGCGGGAAGTTCTTCCTGCAAGCCTCCAACTTCATCCAGCACCGGCGAATCCACACGGGTGAGAAGCCCTTCAAGTGTGGCGAGTGTGGGAAGAGCTACAACCAGCGCGTGCACCTCACCCAGCACCAGCGTGTCCACACCGGCGAGAAGCCCTACACGTGCCAGGTGTGCGGCAAGGCCTTCCGCGTCAGCTCCCACCTCGTCCAGCATCACAGCGTGCACAGCGGCGAGCGGCCCTACGGCTGCCCCGAGTGCGGGAAGAGCTTCGGGCGCCACTCGCACCTGATCGAGCACCTCAAGCGCCACTTCAGAGAGAAGTCCCAAAGATGTAGGTGTGAGCAGTTGGTCTTTGGAGCATAAACGAGGCAGGAATTGCTTTATCAGCTTAGAACCATCGGACAGATGGGTGGGGATGGTGGCAGCTGTAGTAGGCAGGGATGGAGAGTTACCCTCTGTTTTATTATCACTTGTACTGTATGGTTTTTTTTTTTTTTAATATTTATTTGGCTGCTCTGGGTCTTAGTTGCACATTTAAACTCTTAGTTGTAGCATGTGGGATTTAGTTCCATGTCCAGGGACTAAACACTGGCCCCCTGCATTGGGAGCACATAGTCTCAGCCACTGGACCACCAGGGAACTCCCAACAACATTTCTTCTGGCTCATTTCTCTTTTTCCTGGCTCCTAACTGGATATTCTTCCAACTCCATAACCCCCTCACATTCCTTTGCTTCCCATTCTTCAGGCCTTCGTCAGTTCTCACCATCTAGCGGTGTATCTTTGTTCTGTCTCATTCTCTCTCCCTGACTCATGTTGGGGTGAGGATTCCTTCCACCTTTCCTACCGCCTCTCCCATGTCAGAATTCCTTTCTCTCTGTGTAGTAACAGTGTTTGGCGTTTCCCTTTGACTGCCTGTCCTCAGTCTTTCTCATCACCCTCCCAAGTAAGCGCTCTATTCTTTATCTTGTTCACTGAACAGACACCAGAGCACCTATATGCTCCCCTCCTCCTTCGTTACTCCTGTTACATCATAGTTCCATCTGATTATCCATTTTTTCCTGATAGTTTCCTTTTCTTCCGTAAAAGGACCGATAACATTTTCATTTCCTCTTGACTTTTTCAGGTGGGAGTAGAAGAAGTAAGAATACAAAACTGAATGTCAAGAAGAAAATTTCAGAGTTTTCAGAAGCGGACATGGAACCCACAGGCAGACTCCAAAGAACTGTGTCTCCAGTTCAAGATTTTGGAGAAGGCCACGAGCACCAGGGCAAGTTGGAGAGAAAGCAGGGAATGCCCATGAAAGAGATACTAGGACAGCCCTCTTCAAAGAGGCTGAATTTCAGCGAAGTCACCTACGCCCACAAAAAGCCCTCCACTGGAGAGAGACCCCATAAATGTAATGAATGCGGGAAGAGCTTTATTCAGAGCGCACATCTGATCCAGCATCAGCGGATACACACCGGGGAGAAACCGTTCAGGTGCGACGAGTGTGGGAAAAGCTACAATCAGCGTGTGCACCTGACTCAGCATCAGCGGGTGCACACGGGGGAGAAGCCTTACGCCTGCGCCTTGTGTGGGAAAGCTTTCCGGGTGAGGTCTCACCTGGTCCAGCACCAGAGCGTGCACAGCGGGGAGAGGCCCTTTAAGTGTAACGAGTGTGGGAAGGGCTTTGGGAGACGGTCACACCTTGCTGGGCATCTGCGGCTTCACTCGAGAGAGAAGTCCCACCAGTGTCATGAATGCGGAGAAGTCTTTTTTCAGTACGTTAGCCTCATTGAACACCAGGTGCTGCACATGGGCCAGAAAAATGAACAGAATGGTGTTTGCGAGGAAGCATACAGCTGGAACTTAACGGTGATCGAAGATAAGAAGATTGAGTTGCAAGAGCAGCCTTACAAGTGCGACGTGTGTGGCAAAGCCTTTCATTATAGTTCAGACCTCATTCAGCATTACAGAACTCATACCACAGAGAAAACCTATAAATGTAATCTGTGTGGAGAAAGCATTGGCCAGTGTCCCCACATCAACCAATATCCTAAAAGCTATTGCAGTCTGAAAGCCCATCAGTGTAATGAATGTGGCAGACGCTTTGCTCTGAAGTCACATCTCAATCAACATCAGAGGATCCACACTGGTGAGAAACCCTTTCAGTGTAAAGAATGCGGCATGAGTTTCAGTTGGAGTTGTAGCCTCTTTAAACATCTGAGAAGTCATGAGAGGACAGATCCCATAAAGATCTGAGGTGTCTAGAGGTTCCTATCATAGAACAGCTCTTACACAATTTTAGAGATGCCTTCCTGAAGAGTAACCGTATTCCTATAACAAATGTCACAACCTCAAGCATCTTCTTCAGCGTAGCCATCAAATCTACAGATATGTTGAGATCCTCTATTTAGAACTTAGGACACCGGAGCATCCACAGCAAGTACAGATCTGCTTTCCCATTGGGAAATGCTTTCATTTCCATCTTCATTCGCAAGAGTCTAGACAGGAGAGAACGATACGGTGGGTTGGGGCGAAGCCTTCAGAAGGCACTCATTCTTCACATGAGTCTAAGAACATTGACACTGGGAGAAGCCTCATGAACTCGGTAGAAATAAGCTTCATTTGTAGTTTCTGCCTTGTTTGACAGCTTATCTATTCAGGGAATAGCACAGTGAAAGAGAAACTTCAGCATGATCTTGGTGTTGGTATCTCAGCAACGAACCTCAGCAGTAATGCCAGCCACTGGATAGCTCCAGGGGTCATTCCAATCTTGAGTATATTAACCCTTTGAAAAGAAATTGATTTTTAAAGTATTTATATCTGGGTGAAAATGAGGTTCAGAGGCTGGATGTTATGTGTTCTTGCTGCCTTATTCAGTCAACAACTTCTTCATGAAACACACTCTACCTTTTTGTTTTGTCTTTGATTCTCCTGGCACCACGGTTAGCTAGTAGAAAAGAAGTTAAGTTTTAAATTCAGGGGAAACTGTGTTGGTCTGTCATGTCTTAGAGAGAGGGGAGTGGGACCTTAGGGGAATAGAGCAGACAGGCCAGGCTGTGGACTGGTTTTTATTCTGTTACCCACAGAAATGAGGGTGACTTTATCCACAAAAGGAGTTGGACCAAATTGAATTGAAAATTGAGTTGTGGTCCAAGCAATATGTGTGCCAACTCCCAGTTGCCCTGGAGTGGATCTCCCCAATAGGATAGTGGATAAAGAATGAGTTTCAACTTGGGTTGCCACTGGATTTGAGAGTAAACATTCATAGAAGCAGGGAGGTCCTGGTCTGGTGCGCCCTGCCTTTTGGAAAGGTTTCAGAAGGAGTGGTGGGGGAAAGACGATGACATGGAAAAGAACATTAACGCAAACCTGTTTGCTAGAGAGACGGTGAGAGGCGTTTGGGCACCACTGAAGTCCTGCTTCTGCTGATGGCCTGAATTACAATAAACACCTAATGAATACCTGTTGATTGTGTGTGTTGTGCACTGGTGCCCAGGCCAGGCCCCCTTTACCAGGCTGCCATACCTGTCTCCCAGCTGCTCTTGAGTTTTGGCCGCCAGGTGCTCACAGCTCACCCAGTTTTCTGGAGGCTCGGGTAAAGAGAGCTGCCCCACCCAGGAGTCAGCTGCCTGCCCCACTCCCAGCCAATGACTGGTTGATACAGGGTTACAAAGGCTGATCCACTTGCCTCTGAGTGGGGAGCAGGTGCAGTATGCTCCAGACCCACCCTTTGTGGATCAGGCAAGACTTTGGTTATTGACTCCATCCATTCTCTTGTCCTCTGTGCTGTCTTATCCCCGCCTCCCCTTCCTGTCCTCAGCAAATCACGTGGGTTTGAATGCTTTCTCAGGCTCTGCTTTAGGCAGAGACGTGTGGTGCCATGTATTGTCCTATAAGAATGGACTGGTCGCTCACCACAAGGCAGCGAGGGCGTGTCACCAGTGGTGGGCGGGACCCTGGTAGTTCCAGTCATGTGGCAGACACTCTGGTGAACTGGGAGGGAGTACAGGTAGGAAGGGATACGCCAATTTGGGTAAGTTTTGGGGAACAAAATGAAAATGATTGTGGAATCAAGTGGCTCTGGCTGAAAGCCACTGATTGCTTGGAGAGAGAAAATGACACTTGGGGCAAATGTCCACCAAATTGACGTAATGTATGAGTGTCAGAGGGCCTCCTTGGAAGCATTTAAGGAGACTTGTCACCTGCAAACAATCACAGAGCTAAAGGTGATAAGACTGAAAGTGATTTAAGACAATTGAGAACGACAAGTTCAGTAAAGCCTGGTGTTAATGTCCACGTGCTTTAAACATCATGCTAAGTGCTTTATGTGGATCACCTCACTTAATCCTCACATTATGTGGTGGTTTCACTTAATAGCACTCATTTTACAGTTGGGAAAAACTTGACATTCAGAGTAGTTAATTCCCTTGTCCAAAGTCACACAGCCAACAAGTGGCAGAATGAGTATTTGAACCACGGTCACTTTGCCTCCAAAAGCTAAGTTCTTAAGCACCAAACTAGACTATGTCTTACATGATTAAACATTACAAAGTGATGAAACTTCTTGTCAGTTTATGTGAAAAAGGTTTTGATCCAAATGGTAAAAACATTAATAGAATCTTGAAAGGGTTTGGTGGGACTGTCACACTCAACCTCCCGCACAATGGAGGAATCACTGTTCAGTTGTAGACATGTGCATGCAACAAGTGCTTAATAACTGTGTTGAACTGGAGAGAACACTTCCTGGCAGCTTCCTTTCTGCATGAAACCCTTCCACTGATGGGTTCATTGCATCCCGAGGCAGCGTCTTCCCTTTAAAAACACCTCTGATTGCCAGAAACTCCTTAGTGAGCTGAAAACTGTGCCAATCTGCAGTCGTACATCTCTTAGTTGCAGAAGAAACTTAAAAAAGAGTTTTATGACTTGAATGTTGGTGAAGTTTTTTTTTTGCTGCTACTCGGTCATCACATCCGTCATCATCTTACCTTGCAAAGCTCCAAAAGCGAAGGGAAACAGACCACCATATTTTGTTTGGTCAGTTTGGGGCAAGTTAGAACAATCTGGACTAGGACAGTAGAACCTGCATTCCAACTACAGCAGTAAATGAGTGCATGGAGTACATAGGTTGAATTCTACAGAAATGTTTGCCACAGCGCTGGGGCAGGGAGGAGGACTGTGACTGATTCTGTCAAAGGTTTTCCGTTTTTCTGCAGAGAAGCATCAGAGCCATTTGAGTGGGACCAGGTCCAGGGCGCCAGCTTTCTGTCCTTTCCCTTCAGAAGGAGCCATTAGAAGCAGGTACCATGTGCTATTAATAGTTCTCAAAACTTATGAGCCGCACCTTCCACCCCGTCAATTCCTCACTAGTGAGGACCTGCTTCTAGGTGTTCCTCAGACTGAGGAGGAGGTGGTTAAATTCTCTCAATTTATAGAGGAACCACAGAGACCGCAAGACCTCCTAGATTCCTAGAGAACAGCTATGGGGGGTAGAGCTGGGGGTGGGGGGGGGCGGGCGGCGGGACTGAGACGTGCTTCCGCTAATCCTTCCGGAAAACCAGTCCTGTTTGTCCTACAGGCGTGAGGTAGCTGCTGGCCTTCGGTTCCCTGAGGAGCTGTGTAGTTAGTACCCGCAGCAGAATGTTTCTCTTCCACGTTTCCCTCCCCAACTTCCAGCCCAACTTAGTGCTTTGACTTACTCTGAATTTTGAGTTCTATTAGGAAGGGCGTTGAAGACAAGACGTCCTGAGATGTCCATGGGGTGGGTTTCTCAGAGATCTCACCCCAGGGCTTGCCTGAGGCTGACTTCTCACTGTGGCCTTTCCTGTTTCCATGCCCCTGCACTCCCAGTGTCTCTTTTCTCTTCTTAAAAGGATACTAGTCTTAACCTTGAGGAACCTAAACTCATGACCTCATTTAACCTTAATCACCTCAAGGGCTCTATTGCCATAAACGGTCACATAGGGGTAGGGCGTACAGTGCATGGATTTTGTGCAGGGCACACAGTTCAGAACAGTTGGGATCTCGTTACTCTTTGTATTTTCCTGTAGGCCCTAGCACAGCGTCCGGCAAGATGGTAAATCTAGATTTTTGTTAACAAAGTGATAGACCTGATTGGAGCTGGGGGAGGAGTTATAAAGTCATTAACATCTACTGTCTTAGCTCATCTTTGTTTATACATTTCTGAGCCCTATTCTGGAAGATCCGAAGTCCTGCTTAGAACTTCAGGGTCTCAAAGGCAATGGCACAGAGGGACAAGGGAAAGCCCTGTTGGGGGCCTCAGGGGTGGGGACTGAAGGGACAGGGTTTGTGCCTTCCCATTACCCTCCTAACTACATCCTCACTTCCGACCGGGCAGTGCGCTGGGGTTGGGGAAGTGGAGTCTGTGAGCCCTTGCTTCTCACAAGCTTAACTTCCGGCAGGATTCTGAACAGTCTGTGGTAACCATTATTGCCCCATCAGGTGTCACAGTGGATGTGGCATCATTGGCAGATGATGACAACATGGCTTGGGGGGCCTCTGTGGCCATTCATCTTGGTGAGCAGAGATCATATTGCCACTTCGAATGATCAGACTAAAGCATCTGTCTTGGCATCCTGTCCCCTTCAGAACCCACACTGGATTCATTTTGGTGAGCAAAGGGTTTATTTTAATAATTTTTAATTGTCCAAGGCCCACTTGCCAGACTGTATGGCTTAGCTTTTGGTCACAGCCTAAGGAATAGCCTTAAGTAGCTATTCTCCTATAGTGAAGCCTGTTGCCTGTAATTGGCTCTTCCTCAGGGTAGATTCCCATAGAGATGGGAATATGAGACCACCTTACCTGCCTGTTGAGAAATCTGTGTGCATGTCAAGAAGCAACAGTTAGAACTGGACATGGAACAACAGACTGGTTCCAAACTGGGAAAGGAGTACGTCAAGGCTATATATTGTAACCCTGCTTATTTAACTTACATGCCGAGTACATCATGTGAAGTGTTGGGCTAGATGAAGCACAAACTGGAATCAAGATTGCTGGGAGAAATATCAATAACCTCAGATATGCAGATGACACCATCCTTGGCAGAAAATGAAGAGGAACTGAAGAGCCTCTTGATGAAAGTGAAAGAGAGTGAAAAAGCTGGCTTAAAACTCAACATTCAAAAAAGGAAGATCATGGCATATGGTCTCATCACTTCATGGCAAATAGATGGGGAAACAATGG